TATTGAATTATATGTCAAGACCTACACTATCTGTCAAAGGTCCAAACCTGAACATAATCAACCTTTTGGATTACTACTTAACTTACCTATTCCAGAAAAACCTTGGCAATCCATTTCTATGGATTTTTTGGTGGATCTCCCACCTTCTCAACATTTCACCACTATCCTTGTTGTTGTGGACCGCTTCACAAAAATGTCCCATTTTATCTCTTTAAAAAAATTGCCCTCCTCCGCAGAATTGTCCAAAGTCTTTATAGATAATATTGTAAAACTTCATGGACTTCCTTAAGAAATTATTTCTGATAGGGGGACACAATTTACCTCCAAATTCTGGAAAGAGATGTGTCTCTCCCTTCAAATTCAATGCAAACTCTCATCCGCCTATCATCCCCAAACTAATGGACAAACAGAGAGGGTTAATCAATGTTTGGAACAGTATCTGCGATGTTATTGTTCATACCTACAAGATGACTGGACCACATGGTTACCTATGGCTGAATTTTCTTACAACAATACTATTCACTCCAGTACGAAAATGACTCCTTTCTTCTCGAACTATGGGTTCCATCGGTCTTCATTTCCCATCCAAACTATTGCTTCATCCAATCCTACTGTTACATCAAAAAACGAATTTATGTCCTCCCTATTTCTCAAATTACGGGAGAATCTTCAACTCGCCCTAAATAACCAGAAAAAGTTTTTTGACAATTAAAGAAGAATTCCCCCTCCTTACAAAATAGGAGATCTTGTCTGGCTTTCTTCGAGGAATATTACCACAAACCGCCCTTCAAAGAAATTGAGCTCTCTTTTTCTTGGTCCCTTTCAAGTAATTACAGTCATTAATGATAACGTTGTTAAACTAAAACTTCCTCCAAGTTTCAAACTTCATCCAGTATTCCATGTCTCCTTGCTTAAACCACACATCCCTGATCCTTTCAATAGAGATGTAGTGACAACTCCTGAACCTGTCATTGTCCACGGTGAAGAGGAATATGAAATACATAAAATTTTGGATTCACGTGTCCACCGTGGCTCCCTACAATACCTTATTAGATGGAAAGGTTATGGAGTTGATGAAGACACTTGGGAAGATTCATCTAATGTACATGCAAAGAGGTTAGTTGCTGCATTCCACAAGCACTATCCCTCCAAACCGAAATGAAGTGCATCCAGAGGATGCCCCATGGGAAGGGGGTACTGTCAGGTTATACCTGCCGTGCTTTTCGCCGAAGGAACCCACTCCCGGGTTCACGGAGCTTCGCCCCGCCCCGCCCCTTTTTTCTGACGCGGTCCTTCCACGCTACATAGGAAGACCGCGCCAGATTCAAAGGGCTGGATTATTGCACAGGTGTCTGCAAAAACTTACCAGCTGCTCTATTTTGATCCTCCGTGTACCGAATAACGCTCTGGGACGACTACCCTCCTTCTCCACTCCTTGACCTCGGCTTGCTAAACGGACTTCTACCCCTCTTCACAACCATTGGATGTAATTAAGCTCTTCAGTTCCAGAACTGCCTCTTAAGCTAAGTAATTGTTCCTACAATCAAGCTACTCTCTGTTACTAATAAGAGACTGTTTCTAAGGCTCAATGCTGTGTCATTCTCTCAAGTTACTCTCTGTTATACATAAGGAACTGCTTCTAAGGCTAAATTCTTCTTCCAACAATCAAATTATTCCCAGCTGCAATTCTGTCTTGCCTCATTGATAATTTTGCTTGCAGTTATTCTATCACAATTAAGCTGAACCTAACTCTGCATATATTTTCTGCACTATTCCTAAAGTGGGACTGTTTGGATTGTGCAAATCTTCATTGGCTTATTCTTTACTCGCAATTAACATCCTGCTTGAAGGTTTAAAGCTACAGTAACCTCTCCTCCACATCAGTAACAAAAGGAGGTAATACTAATAGTTACTGCAATTAAAAATTCTGCAGTTGAGTTCCAAATAAAATTAGTATTACATATGCTCAAATTGACAAGGAGGCTTTAGCTATTGTGTCCAGTGTAAAAAGGTTTCATGACTATTTGTATAGGCGTAGGTTTACTATTATAACAGATCATAAACCTTTACTGGGTTTGTTCACCACCATTGCTCCCACTCCTCAAATAATTTCACCACGCATGCTCAGGTGGTCCCTTATGCTGAATGCCTGTGATTGTGAGTTCAAGAATCGTCCTGGCAAGGATATCACAAATGCTGATGGATTAAGCCGATTACCTTTGCCTTCTCCTGACTTCCTTGTTCCTCCTATGTCTGGAGGTCCTCATGTTGGAATCGATTCCAAAGCCTCCGTTACATGCAAGTGACATTGCTTGTATGTCTACCAAGGATCCTTTGCTGTCCCGTGTGCTCAACTGGGTTTGGAGGGGGTGGCCAAAATCAAAAGTGGAAGATAAGTTCAAACCATTTGTAGTGCGCCAACATGAACTATCTTCCTATAAAGGCTGCCTATTATGGGGAAACAGAGTGGTAATTCCAAATGCAGGACAAGCTTGAGTATTGCATGCTCTTCATGAAGGACATCCTGGAATAGTTTGCATGAAAGCTCTAGCCAGAAGTTATTTTTGGTGGCCTAAAATGGATGAAGTTATTGAAAAGTGGGTGAAGAACTGTGTACCATGCCAATCTACTCGTCATGCTCCACCTAAAGCTTCAGTAAATCCTTGGGAAGTGAGTAGCTCACCTTGGTCCCGTTTACATATAGATTTTGCTGTCCCTTTTCTTTTCTTTCAGATGTTTTTTTTAGTTGTTCACTCCTTTTCAAAATGGTTAGTAGTTGTTCCAGTTACATCTGCTACCTCAGTCACAGTCATAAAGATTCTAAGGAGGCTGTTTGCTACACATGGGTTGCCATATACAATTGTATCTGATAATGGAACACAATTTACCTCATCAAAATTCAAAATTTTCATGGCAAGTAATCTTATTCGACATGTTACAATTGCACCATTTCACCCATCATCAAATGGTCAAGCTGAGCATATGGTTCAGGCTACCAATGACTCATTAAAGAGAATTATTGAAGGAGATTGGAATCGTAGACTTGCAACTTGCAACATGTGACACCATGCTCAAGCACTGGTAGAAGTCCAGAAGAGCTCCTTATCAACCGATGTCTTAAAACTTGTCTGGATCGTTTTCAATTCCTCAACACCTTCTCTCTATGCCTCATAGTCTACCTCTACATGCAGTTCCTCCAAGCTGGGCACGGGAGAACTAATAATCTGACAAAGGTCTGGTCCAGGGCACTATTAAATGGCTGAAGGGCCCAAGTGGGCACCGATCAAAGATGCCAACAGGGTGGCTTTAAGTGTGAAAGTCACTGATTCCCTCCCCCACACCTCCAGCTGGTGGACCCTGCTGTGGTCGCACTTCAACTGTGGCTGGGCCTCCTGTGAGACGTGGAATGTCCAGGGCTCAGTCGCACTTGCAACCTTTACGACCCCGGGTGTTTCACAACTGCATAAATACATACATACATAAAAATGATGGAACTATTACAGGGATCTGGGAATAGAGATAAAGCTCAATCAGCCCATATGTTAATCCAGTCCTGGTCATTAACCATCACACAATATATTGTACAAGTTGTTAAATATATGGAAACTATTCCATCCGTCCATCCTTGTCTTCATTCTCTGATGAATTTGACTTATTGACTGTTATTATTTGACTATTATTATTATTATATTGATATAGCACCAACAAATTCTGTAGCGCCTACAATGGGCGGACTAACAAACTTTAATTGTAACCAGACAAGCTTGACGCACAGAAACAGAGGGGTTGAGGGCCCTGCTCAATGAGCTTACATGCTAGAGGTAGAAGGGTAAAGTGACACAAAAGGTAAGTATTAGGGAAGTAGATTGGTAGAATAGTATTCAATGAAGACTTAGTGTAGGGTTTTTGGAGCCATTGACAGTTTAATTGATATGCTTTTGTGAGACTGGGTGAGTGTCTAACGATAAAGGTAAAGGAGTTCCACAGGAACGATGGAGCCCTAGAGAAGTCTTGGATACGAGCATTAGAGGTGGGAGTATAAACAGAGGATAGACGCAGGTCTTTGGCAGAGTTTAGGGAAGTAGACGGGACATACTTGTGTATTAGGGAGGATAGATAGGTAGAAATAGCATTATGTAGAGATTTGAAAGCAAGAACCAGAATTTTATATCGAGCCCTTTATCTTACGGGAAGCCAAGGCAGGGACTGACAAAGGGTTGAGGCGTGGGAGGTGCGGGCAGAGAGGAAAATGAGCCTCACCGCCGCATTCATTATAGACTGCAATGGGGCAAATTGGGAGCATGTAAGACCAGTGAGAAATGGATTGCAGTAGTCAAGGCGAGAGAGGACAGTTGCATGGACCAGCACCTTAGCCGCATCTGGCGTTAAGCAGGGTCAGATAAGCGCAATGTTTTTGAGATAGAAATGGCAGGATTTGGAGATAAACTGGACATGAGGGGTGAAGGAGAGGTCGGAGTCAAAGAGAACACCTAGAAAAAAGAAGCCTGCGCGGTGGACGTGATGGTAGCATCATTAGTGTGGAGGGAGACAGAAACGGGAGTAGCAACACTTGAGGGAGGAAAGACCAGAAGTTCTGTTTTGGACAAGTTGTGCTTAAGGAAGTGGGCAGCCATCCAGTTAGAAATAGCAGAGAAGTAGTCAGAGACGCTAGTGACATTGGAAGCCAAAGGACCTGATGAGTTTACCAATGGAGGCAGTACAGATCGAGAACCATAGAGGACCAAGGACTGAACCTTGGGGAACACCAACAGAGAGAGGTTGTGAGGAAGAGGCAGAGCCAGAAAAATAAACACTAAAAGAGTGCTGCGTGAGGTAGGAGGAGCACCAAGAGAGAGCAATACTATTAGACCGAGATTACGGAGGATGAGAAGAAGCTGTTGATGATCAACAGTATCAAAAGCAGCAGAAAGGTCAAGGAAAATTAGGATAGAGTAGTGACCATGAGATTTTGCAGCGAGTGGATTGTTTGATACTTTGGTCAGAGCCATTTCCACAGAGTGCTGAGCGCGGAAACCAGACTAAAGTGGATTGAGCAGAGAATTGGACTCGAGAAAGTCTGTCAGTCTCACATACACAAGTCTTTAAAGGATCTTGGACGCAAAAGGCAGTAGCGAGATAGGGTGTTAGTTGGACAGGGAGTTAGGGTCAAGGTTGGGCTTTTTTAGAACTGAGGTTACATGTGCATGTTTGAAAGGTAATGGAAATATGCCAGAGGAGAGGGAGAGATTGAGAATTTTAGTGAGAGGCAAAGCAAGAGAAGGAGACAGAGTACGGGTGAGATGTGAGGGAAAAGGATCAAGGGAGCAGGTTTTTGAAAAGACTACATTCAACAAATGTAATGAAAAAGAAAATGACAACTATTTCTCAAAGTCCCTAGAACTATTTCTTGAATTTATTGTAAAGCGCTGCGGAATACGCTGGCGCTATATAAATATTACCAATAATAATAATAATAAACAATCCCTCTCTATTTGCGCTCATAATTTTTCACCCTGTAGTGCTCTCAGAAATCCACTAGGTGGCGCTTTCCTACCAATTTTAATTTATTTGACTGCAGCAGATGCTACCTGTCAGCTATAGTTCCTACTCATAACAAATGAAGCAACATCCCATTGAACATGTAATTTACATCTGGGAATAAAAACATTATGAAAGAAGTATTGGACATGTTGTGAAAATATTTCTCTAAGGGTTTTATGTTTTGGCCAGTAAAGAATATGGCAAACAATTATCTTAAATTACTAGCCAGAATATATAACTTATTTGTAAAACAATTGTTCTGTACGTTTGTACATAACTAACCACATTTCCCCCCCCAAAAAAATATGGAAGCGATGAGCTACTTTCACAATCAATGAAACAGTATTGCTGCTTGTCAAATCCAATGAAAACTGTACGAGAGGATGCACAATCCCTCTGTCCTTATAAACATAATTAAACCAAAACTATAAAATATCATGGGATTCCCAGTCACCAGTTCCCAAGATTTAACATACCCCACAGTGGGAAGGAAATCTAACCTTGAAAATAAAAAACTGGTCAAATTATACTTACCTGTTGATGTCTTGAGTGAAGTTCTCATATCCCCCCAAAATATATTGTCTGAAAAATCCATACCCTGTGCAACTAATTGAAAATAAAGAATAATAAAAGATGGTGAACAAAAAAAACCACCCCAACAACAAATCAAACCTGAGCTCCTATGTATATGATTCTGCTATCTTGGGAAGCTTTCGCTGCATGGTCCATAGTTGGCTTGTTTTCTAGTGTGACACTGAAAATGCTAGTTACTCTGCTGGCACTCATGGAGGTCAGGTTGACCAGCATAGAGGTCCAATACCTGGTGATCCCAGTTGGACAATTGACACCAGAAATAGGTGTTTTGCACCAGAGAACCCACAAAACCATCTATGATATGGATAATGGAACTGTATCATTTTTCGTGAGGTTCTGGTCAAAGGTTATTTTTGTTCTTGTGGTTCTGCATTCATACTCCAGCTAGAATGCACATTTTGACCTAAATATGCAGCAATGCCAAAAACAAACGTGGCGTGTAAATTGCACTTAGTGTGTGAGAAGTTCAACAGAGAATGAACAGAACTTTCCATATTAGATTATAATCACTTAGGAACATCTGATAAGTTTTTCTGCTGACTTGTGCCATCGCATCATAACTGTTTAATAATGATACCCCTTTATCAATTATATATAAATCTAACACATCAGCTCTAGGTCCCATTCATATAGTTGTTCCAGCATGCCCTGCTTTATCTATACCAAGCATTAAATAAAAATCACACGAAAAAATGACAAAAATTAGACATTTTGCATCCTGTTGTGCCTCCAATGGAAGTATTCACTTCTAAGGGCTTTTTTTTTTCTTAAGCAATATATTAAAAACACAAATTAGTTTCACTACCACTACTGTGAACAGGAGTAAATTTGCTCACTCATTAAATTAAAGCTTTAAAGTTCTCCTCTGTCTCAAAGATCATGCACCTGAACCACCCAGTGTTTGCTTCCAGTTGACCTCCATTGATTTCAAACACAAAGAAAAGTTTCCCATATTCTCCTACTACGTGTGTGTGATTCAGTGGGAAGACAGCTGAACACTGAACACTTCAGCCAATCCCGTAAATGCACTGTTAGCAGCAGTATGCAGCTGTATACACAGGCAAGGTTAGTGACTAAAGTGGGAATTATCAACAAGGCAGTGAATGCAATGTGGATTAAAAATATTAGACAAAAAATAGCTCAAATTCAAACATTTATAATATCTAGTATGTTTCACAGTGGTAGAACTAATGCAGTGAGGACCCTGGTGCAAGAATTTTGTTTGAGCCCCCCTCTAACGCCAAAAGGTAGATCCACATCTGTTATACAGTTTCTACAATGTGATAGCAGCTGGGGATCTACCATTTGCCCACCCTTGCAGGGTTGTATTTGTGAGAAGTGTTTGTGCGTTTGAATGTAATCATATTTTTGTATGATTGTGTTGATTCATGTGGGGGTGTATTTGTGTGTACTGTTGCTGTTGGAATGCAGTAGTGTACTTCTATGTAATGTTTGCGCTTGAATGCAGGGGTGTGTTTGTATGTAGTGTTGGTTTTTAAAAGCAGGTGTACCCTTGTGTGCAGTGTTGGTGTTTGAATGAAGGGGTGTTTGTTTATATTTTTGTAATTTTAATAGAAGGGTATGTTTGTAATGTTTCTGCTTAAATACAGAGGTGTGTTTACATGTAATGATGGCTTTTAAATGTGAGTGTACATTTGTGTGTAATATTGGTGTTTGAATTATGGGGTGTGTTTATATATAATTTTGTATATAATTTTTGCCATATACACCGCCACATACATACATATTTACACACATACACATACACAGTGACACACAAATACACACACTGATGCACGTTCTGACACACAGATATACACTTATAAACACACATATATACAAACACACACACATACTTACATCCTGATACAAACATAGATCCACACACTTACACACTGACAGATATAAACACACTGTGACACACACACCTCTCTGAGTAGCAGATTAACAGGAGCTGAGGAAGGAGATACATTCAGGCAAAAAAAAACCAACAAAATTTTGAGATGAAATGCTGCACAGTCAGAGTCCTTGCATTATAAACACTTTAGGAAGCTGAAATAGTTATAGTGCTTCGAGTTTCCCTTTACATGAATACTTACCTTTGTTAGATGCCGGACGATGTACAGAAATAGAGACAATACGGACACATAATACAAAAGGAATCCCCATGCCCTTTCACATGCATCAATGTATGAAGCTCTGATCTGATCACAAACATAGGGCCACAGGGGAGGTCCGGATCAACCCATACATCTACTGTCCTACAGCATAGTCTATAATGGTTGTCACTGCTATGTTATCCCTATTTAACTTGGATATAAGCTGCACTTAAACACATCACTCCAGCCCTTGGGTATTTAAAGTCCCTTCACACTCTAGGATATGGCTTGACTGATGTTTTCACAATATGGCTATTACTTATATTTCTTTGATCTGACTTCTAGATTTTTTCTGATCTTGGTTTGTTTTCCAGTCAGATATTGCTCCATACTCAGGTCTGGTTTTCTGGATTCTAATAAAGCAAATATTCCTGAACTTGGACTTTTTTAGACATCCATGGGGTGCCACTTTTTGGTTTAAATGTCTGAGAATTGTATCTCTTCTTACTTACCGTAGTCACTATTCATACAAAACTTTCTCTATCATTCTGCATCTTTCCTCTTCTTTGATTTCTTGTGATAGTAAGATTCAGAATTTGTTCATAATCATGTTTCGACTTAAAGTATTTAATATTGCACATGTCATTCCACTTAAATTAGAGTTTGCTAAATAAATAGTTAAATGTAACCACATAAGCAGTTCTACGGGAAATATGTTTTGCAGACTAGGGGCTATTCTCTGAGATATTTAGAGGATAATGATCCTACCAATGATAATACACGAGGCATGTGATTGCCTGCCAAGGGGACAGGAAGGGACGGGTGTTATGGTTTACTGTTTCATTCATAGTCACAGTGTGGAAAATTGAGAGTGTAGTTAAATTAAACAAGCATGAAAACACCTTCAACATTGAGAATTACAGTATCATAAGAAGGGAGTGTTAAGTTGATATTGTGCTTAAATATTAGACATTTCAGAGGATTCTTTGCCAAAAAAATGCTTTCAGGAAGTTTGCTTACTGTTCAAAACTATAATTCATGTGGCCACATTGGGTAAACTGTAAACATTACAATACCATGTATCACCCTCAAGGCATGGAATTTTGTCCATATTATAAAAGAACCTGTCATTTACAAAAGTTGTGCATACTATAGTCAGTTTTGGATAGAGATAAAAAAATATATGTTTGTATTAGTTTTTGTATTACAAAGCCATGTTACAGTACTGCTGCCACCCACCCCATGTGTACCCTATTAAAGATTAATACACGTGCAAGGGTTCATAACAGAGATTTTGCCTTTTAGCTGAAAGTAGCAAGGTTAATTGTTGGTGTTTGGCTCACCTAAAAGGTTTAGCTTGCGGGGCAGGTGAACTTGCACCTTAACGGCCATAGACTGGTACTAAAAACTTCTTGTTATTTATATGTGCATAGGGCCTTATGATAGTGCATAGATACCTTTTTTTGGTTTTGGTCTATGTATTTTGGCTGATGAATATGATAGCCATTGCTGCTGCCCACAAGTAGTGGGAGTTTGAGCGCAGGGCTTAAAGCGGCACTCCAGGCACCAAAACAACTTCATCTAAATTAAGTTACTATGTTTCCAGATGGTTCCCTGGCCCACTCTCACCTTCAGGGGTTAAATCATTCTCGATTTCCTACAGCACTGGTCTCTACTCCACCCCAGGCTGCATCTGGCTTCTAAAATTGCAGTTTCAGGATGAGTGGAGTGATGACGGTCACTCGATCAGCCCAAAAATTTAGATGAATTGCAGTTCATAACAAAATGAATTTTCAAGTCCACTGATGACCTCATATACAGGTTCCTATATATCTGGTGGGAAACACTTGTACTGGGATCATTGGTCCATGTTGGGCTAAATTGAAACCCTTCCTAGGACTATTCAGAGTTTTAATCCAGCTCTCTGTGGTGTTTACATTCTATTCTTTCTATTTTTCTGGCGAGTTTACAGCAAAAGAGGACAATTCTGGGGGGCAGAGCCTGACC